GAGGTATGTTAGCAAACAGCTTTTCAGTAGCAGCAGCCATCGCGGAGGAATCGTGGTGAGCTCAAAACCTGTTGAATATTGTATTATAAACTTAAAAGAGAGATAGAGAGAAGGGGAGATACAAAAGAACAGGAACACACTAGGAAAAGATCAGGGAGCAAAACCAAAAAACATCACTATATATACTAGTCTGTGATTAATTATGTAAACAATATGACTACAATAATCACAAAAACTATAAATCATTTTATTTACAACATTGAATTCATTCAACAAGGTTGGAAGCGTCTTAGACTACCAGGATGTAGTAGAAACTAAATCAAGAGAGAGATACATGTATAATAAGTTCATGCATTTATTGTTTTACTTATCTAAAAAAATGATTGGGAGAGGGGAAAGAGATTTGAGTTTTTTATGGGTATAGCAACAGTAATGTTAATAATGTTCACCAACAGTAACTGCTAAAGTACATATAAGTGTTTGTAAAGTACATGTACATCTTCATTGTAACTATACAAACATTCCAACAGTAACTGCTAAAGTACATGCATGTATAGTGCATGTACACTTAATTAGCTTAACTGCAGCTATACAAAAATTGTTACCTGTTAGCATTAGCACCAGTACATTTCTAAACACCCCTTCCTGTAATTTGTTGCCATTAATTTTTTATTGATTATTATTATACAAATTTAAGTAAAGTACATGCAATGTAGTCTATAGGATGTCTTAATATCCAGTAGCTGCCCATCAAGTTAAATTACCGTATAGTGGGTAATTTTCAACTGGTGCTTATTTTCGTCTGTTTTGTTGCTATTAATTTTGAACGAAAATTAATTCTGATGAAAATTAATTCTGAAGATAGGCTTGACCATAATAAATTATTAATAACATGATCAACAAGCATGGATGGCCTTGAAAATGGTGTTCACCTTCTAAAGAATTTCTTCCAGACCCTACAGGACCAGGGGACCTCTTTCGAATGCTATCAGTCCTACAGATGCTAGTAAAGACATAAAATCAATTATTTTTGCCTAGTCGAAAATAAAACCAACGAATTTTTATTCTAAAGTCATTTCTGGTTTCAGTTGAAATTTTCAACCACCAAAAATTACCTGCTATATGGTATTTTAGGTAGCAATTTTTTAGGTGGTGAATATACTTAGTGCATGTAGCAACATCGAAATCTATAATATACCAGCTGATCCTTGCTGGTCTTTAGCTTGTGGTTTTATCCTCTCTCCTCAAATATTCTTTCAATTGATGCCACAAGTTTTCAATAGGATTACAGTCTGGGGCCTCTGGAGGTGTTCACCACCAAAAAATGCCATTTCATTTCAAAAACTCTTTAGCTGCATTTGAATTGTGTTTTGGGTCAATATTCTGCATAAACCGACAGCCATCAGGATATAACTGATAGTTTTTGAAGAGCCAAAAATTTCTTAGCAATAAAACAAACAGTTCGACACACACACACTTATATAGGAAACATAAAAGAAGAATCTAGAACACAGGAGAAAAAGTTTACGAAAAGATCATTCTAGAAGTCACTAGATAGCTGTACACACAATAAGAATATTCTAGATATAAATGATTAATGAAATACTAATTAATAAAGAAATTGTTAAGTGTCTATGCACATTCTTCCAACAATAACTTTGGACAAAAGGCAACAATGTACAACCCAATATAATGCATAAACAAAGTCTTCTCCATCACACCATCGAACACACATATTCCAGTTCTTCCTCTCATGCTAATGCTGGCCCAAAAATGCACCTTGACAGGATGCTTCAGTTTATCACTAATATAATAATTATGTGATATGTTTATTACCTAGGTTTCAAGCTGGACAGATGTTTCATCTGTCCAGATAGCATCATTGCAGCCACTTTCAGCCTCATGTATGAACTCTTGCCCATTCCAACCTCTTTCCTTCATTAACCTCCCTATAATAAGCTGAAAATAAGAGCTCCCACGGAAAGTCCACCCAAGAGCTGTTCTGCATCTTAGGACAGTTCTGAGTGATATCTCGACCCCTCTTTCTTGCATCATTTTATACAACTGATAAGCAGTTGTTTTGTCATCATTCTTCGTTGCAGCATCCACTTGTTTCTGCTCGGAATCATCAATTTTTGAAGGATGACCACTGACATTATAGTTTTATATTATAATAATTATTTTACCAGTTGTATTGTACTTCATAAGAAAATATCTGATTCCTCTAGATGCTGGCATTAATCCTTCCTGTTCCAGAAGCTTAAAAATTGTAGTAGACCTGTGTCCTCTTCTGGATAGGCTAAGAATCCTCATCTTCTTGTATGAAGAGTAAACCATCTTTGCTTTAGTCTTGCTGCCTGTAATATATATACTCTGCAATACTTGCGTGCAGTTGACTACAGTTAGTAGCTATGGTTATGTGAAGGAGTGGCTAATTTATTATTGCTATTTTTTATTAACAAAAAACATTTAAACTATATAATTATGCATAAAAATACAAACAACCATTATTACTAAAGCAGCCAGGATCTATGTTCACTGTCACAGGAGCACTTGACAATGGACTCTGTTACTATTAGTCTACATCACTACCAAGTCTGCGAGTCATCACTGGCGGAAACATAGAATCGCCCTAAAAAATGCCGTTATACAAAACAAGTTCAATATAAACTTACCAACGCATCCTTTTGAAAGAGACCTGGGGCTGTCTTCGATAGTCTTTCAGCTAAAACATTTCTCAGCCAAAACAACGCTTTCAGAAAATGCAACGTGGCAACATGTTTAAAAATGGTTTCTGCTTACAGTTTTAACAGGACACACCCATTCAATTCCAACACAACAGGAAGTTTTTATTGACCTGTACTGTAATTAGCCATTTTTATTGACACATACATACTGTGAACCATTATTATAATTTTTAAAAATTATTTTATGTTCTATTACTTTATAGGTCCTCCCTTAGGCATTGATGATTTACAGTATGTACTTGACACATTGAATGAAGTTGGCTTCTCACCGACAAAATGGATAGATCTTGCTTTACATTTAGGATTTTATTATGAGCCACTGTCGGATATTGAGGTTCAGTATGGTCAAAATGTACAAGGATGTCTTAGGCAGTGTCTATTAAAATGGTTAGAGAGAGCTGATGCTGTTGATGCTAGTGAGCGTCCAACAATGGTCTCTCTATGTGATGCTCTTGAGAAAATTGATATGAAAGCAGCAGCTGATTTAATCAGTAAGTTATTATTATAAATAATAATTTTAATACATTGTATCTATTCATATGAGGTTTTACATGACACAAGCTTTGATTTATGTATTGTCTTATATGAAGTTTCCTTTTTCTATTTATTTTTAGGAAAGAATATTTTTGACAAAGATTCTCCAGGTATTACATGTGTATAATTATCACTCAATAAATACATGTAGCATGTATTTTTACTGACATTTTGGTGAATGGTAGAACATTTTAGCTGTCACATGTCATTGAGCATATTATGAATAATGAATTGAAATTTGACAGTTTTGTTACAAATTTGCAAAATTAATAATATTTATGTTATTTGTAAATTAATGCTTTTATTTTTGAATAATTAATTTTTTCTGTAGAGTTATGCCACTATCGTGAAGCACTCAAGACTCTTGTGATGTGTCATCTCACTAAAGCAGTTGTTCAAGGTGAAGCTCGTGTTGGTAAAACCTGTTTCAAGTCACTTCTACTGGATGAAAAGTACGTCAAAGCAAGTACCGGTATTGCTGAGCCGAGAGTTGGTATCTACTGCTACAGACGAGATACTGGGAAAAGATACAAGCTATTGGATGTCACTGAGTTAGAAGAAATAGTTAAAAATGCTTTGAAAAAAGATGCACTCGAAAAATTGATCAATTCTCCAGTAGAAAATCAGGCCAGTAAAGGTATCAATGAAAAGGGACCAACCAGAGAAAATGAAACAGCTGACGAGACTGATGATGGATTTGTTGACGAATATGAAGCCACTGATGAACCTGGCAATGGAGATGGAGCTCTTGGTAATGGAGACGAAACGCCTGGAGATGGAAAAAAAGTGCCGGGAGATGAAAAGGAAAGTTCACTGAGTAAGGAAGTAGAGAAAGTACTTGATGGAGTGCGACAGTGTTCAGGAAAGGAGAATCGTCTTGAAGGTGCTCAATGGTTATACCTCATTGATACAGGAGGGCAAATTGCTTTTCAAAAGTTGCTTCCAATTTTTATGCCGTTTGCTCAAGTTCTTATTCTCGTTATTAATATTTCAAAAGAGTTGTCAAGTGACTCTACTGCAGTGATGCACATCGAAGGTGAGGATCACAGTGATGGCAGCCCATCCAGATTGACGGTCGAAGAAGTTTTGAAGCAGATAATTTCTTCAATAGCTTCTGGCATGCAGCATTTCCGGAATAGCTATAAAAATCATGACGTTCTACAAGATTTGGTTCCAGAGAAATTGCAGATTCTTACAATTGGTACACATGGAGATGAATGCAGTGATGTAGTAAAATCTAAAGATGTATTAGCAAATAAATTGGCAGAAATAATCAAAGGAAATGATGATTGTGAGTCGATTGAAGCTCATCATGTAGTTCGTGTACGGGAAATTGATGGTCGTATCGCTAGTGCAGCTGTTGAAGAAAGAGGAAATGAGAAAAATTTTAAGAACACAAAGAGTTCTTTGGATGATGTAGATGAGATCTTAACAAAAGATGATAAACGAATCAACATTCCTTTTTATTACTACTTCTTTGATATTGTACTTCGCGTTGCAGCAAACGAGGGATGTGGTGTCTTGCAATTATCCACCTGCAAAAGTCTTGGGGAAGATTTAAAACTTGAAGAAAGAGAAGTGATGGAGTCTCTTAATTTCTTGCACCATATCAACAGTATCATTTATTATCATGATTCTGAAGCCTGCAGTGATCTGGTGTTTGTTAACATAGGCAGTCTCATCGGTATTCTCAAGGAGTTGGTCGGGCATGTTCATATTGTTCATTCCAATAAAGGATACGCTGGAGATGAGGACATTATAAAGGGGATCCTTTCAGAGTCCAAGTTTAAAGAGATTTGTAAAGAACAACTCGATCCCATCACAGAAAAGCTAAAAGTTGCTAATATTGCAATGAAATTGCTGAATCTTTTCCTGGAGCTCTCAATAGCTACACCAATAGATGATAAATATTTCATACCAGCTCTCCTTCCAGTGAAAGATGTTACAAATATCTATCTTTATGAGGATCATGAGCCATTGCTGTTTTACTTCAAAAAGGCTACCCCAATGGGTCTGTTCTGCTCTGTGGTTACTCATCTTCTTTCTGGGCCTTGCTACGAAATCGCTTCAACAAAAAACGACAATTTCTCAAATTACATCAAAATGATTCATCAAGAGTCATGGTGTTATGTTGATCTAGTTGAACAGGTCAATTGCATTGAAGTCCATTGTGAGGAACAGAGCATTGAATGCAGTGTAAAGAAAGATGTAAGACAAGCGATCACTTCTGCAGCTGAAAAACACAATCTCAGTGACAGTCATAAGAATCCCGAGATACGGTTTTATTGTTCATGTGAGTGTGGTCCTGCTGGAGGTGTGGCTAAGGGTGAGAAGCATACAGTAGCAGTCAATGAGGAGCGGTGGATCTTTAGATGCACTAAAACAGAAAAAAAAATCAGATGTGATGAGAAGATAAAGTGGAAGTCCTGGCTTGATTGTAAGTTATTATTATTTTCATTATACAACAACAAAAACATTATTATTATCCCTTATTATTATTATTATTATTATCCCTTATATTATTATTATTATTATTACTATTCCACAGCTGATACACCAAACAATTCTACTTCCAATAATGAGTCAACTTCTCCTAGAAAACGAAGTAAAATACGTTAATATTTATTTATATTAATTTTAATATAAAGGTATGCAAATATGTGATTCTGAGACAGAGAGCTCTGGTTCTCTACCATGTAAATATAGACGTTTTGATGAGGAAATTGATGGTAAAATTATATGTTGTTTAATTGTGTATTGATGTACTGTATGTACTTAATCGTCCAATCAATCCTTATCTTATATTATTTTACAATCCATACCTGTCATTCAATACTTAATTATGCCGTATTATTATTTACTTAAATTTTAGATCCAAAGGACATACTACAGAAATACTCAGCCAAGCTGTCCAAAGCAATATCAGTTAATGTTTCTAATGTAGCTAATGCATTGCTTTCTGATGATCTTATAACACAAGAGACTAGAGATTATGTTGTGACAGTAGATGGGGTATCTGCTTTTACTAAAGCCAATAGATTAATGACTGATGTGATGGGTCAATTGGATGGTTCTCTTGATGAAAGACAGTATTTAATTGATGTGTGTAATATTTTGATTAAGCAAGGTGCATCAATGAAGCAGATAGGAAATGTTATGCTTAAAGAACTAGGTATGTACATCTGCATAAGTTAATCAATGTTAATGTCTTTGTGTTTGCAATAGGATGCTGACCATCCTTCTCCTATACATCAAATTAACGACAGTAACTTTTAGAATTTTAATTTTTTAATTATGTGACAAATTAATACCAAGGATATATGTTTGTGCATTTAAGTGGCAAGTCCTTTGTATACAAATTATGTGTATTTTGCTATTAATGTTTTTGTAGTTACATGTACAACAATGCTTTGCTTCCTTATGTAACTTTTGGAGCTAAGGGCTAAGCCCCTTAACATTTACATTTGTCTATTATAGTATTTATTCATTATTTTGTTGTTATACTTGCATGATAGAGTACGGTATAGGACTATTTTTAAATACTCAGTTGCTTCAATTCCTTTGTGATTACATGTATGCTAATAACAGTCGTCTTTTTTGGCATAATCCCACACCATAATTAGAAACCACTCACACATTAAGTGGGTGTGTTCTGGACTTAACACAATCATCTACATAATACATTGTATGATCATGATACTGACACAATGGAATGAACAATGGAGGCTAAAGGAGGTCCTGTCACAAAAAAAATTTTCCCCCGTGAAAATTTATCCTAGGATATAGAAATATCAATATCACGTGATATTTTATGTCCGCGTCAGCAATTTTTTGTCCTACCAAAAGAAAAGTGTAAAGGAACTGTAAATCTTTGTATTCGACTTTGTTCCTTAATTATTTATCTATGGAATACAAGTACAAAGCATGTGGTACCCTTTATTATACGTTCAAAGTACATAGAAGAAGATTTCAGATCGAAGAAGGATGACAGACTGTGTCCGTGGCAAGAACCGAGTAAAGAACCCAGGAAAGAATTAAGAGGATGATCTTGTGGAGAAGGCAGCTGTGTATTTAGCTGATAGAAAGTGTCCAAAAGGTTGTAGTGCTAACAGAAAGAGGCAGATATGGAAAAGAGCTGAAAAGTTTGTTTTCAGTGCAAAATGGGGAACCGTATTACCAGACCAAGATGACTGAATGGTCAACTATATCATGATAGTGTAGGTGTTTTGTGTATTTTAAATAGTTTAGTTAGTTATGTGTATATATGTATGTACGTAGTATGATATCTGTGCTTTTGTAGACAAACTCAGTATGTATATGCATCTGTATTCATGATTTGAATAATTAAATCAAAGCATCTATTATAACAAACTGATATATGATAGCTTGCCCAGCGATGGTATTGATAAACGCACCAGGGAGCAGATAGCAGCAATACTGAAATGCACCGAGTACAGGGAATTAAAGTGACTGTTCCTAGTATGCAAATTAAGGCAAAATGGACAATAAGATTGTGGTTTATGTGCCCTTGCTTTAGCAATGTCAATTTGTGCTGGTTAAGACCCAACTTCTTGCAGCTATATTTCACATAAGCTTCGTTTCCATCTTTTATAATGCTTAGAAAAGAATGTGATGTCTTTGTTTTCTACTTGTTTAAGAGCTAGATGCCCTGGACTATCCAAAGAATACAGGTTACCTATATACTGCCTGTGCAGACAACCTATAGTAATGAAGGAAGAATGGTAAAATGTTCTTAATGTAAGGAGTGGTATCACGTAGAGTGTGAACAAATACCAGAAGATGTTTGGACTGATAAGGACTACGTTTGGTCATGTAATTGTTGTAAAAGTTGCATGAAGACAATTATTGTGCAATAATGAAATGTATCATTATTATTATTATTAATACTGAGTGCTAAGTAAATTTTCCTTATCGAAATAGTCTATATATGCATAATATTATGATCCTAGGATAAAATATTTCTGATACAATTTGTCCTAGGACAAAAATATTTCATATATTATTTTGCCCTAGGACAAAAAAATTAGTCCTATGGTAGGACAATAAAAGCTTGCCTAGGACAAAATATTTCTGAAAAATTTTGTCCTAGGACAAAATATTTCTGAAAGATTTTGTCCTAGGATAAAATAGATCTATTTTCATTATTTTGTCTCATGGGACAAAATTTGGGTGGGACAGATTTTTCTGTGACAGTCCTAACACACCGAGTAACACACCATAGATACTACATTTATGAGCATACTTAGACGCTGGTGCAAAGTGGCTGAGAAATCTAACCGCCATAGAACAGGAGAGACCTCTGCTTGAGGACCAATCTAAAGCCTGCACTGAAGAGGACAGCTGATCAATGCATTATGAGACATCATGCTAGGGCTCAGTACTGCTAGACGTAAACACACTAATACAGAAAACTCACTCCTTCAGCCTCAGCAAACAATGTAGACTATATTGACTGTTAGTTGATAATTGTGGAGGGAAACGGGAAAAAACTACTGCCAAATGTAAGTGTATTGATTTTTATATATTAGCTCAACAGACACTTGATATCAATAAGTGAATTTGCTGTGAGGTGCTCATTTCAACAGAAACTAGGAGGAACTGGGTCTAGAACTAGGACTGTATCAGCACCCAATGCTGCATGCATACTCATGATAGGGGGCTCATCTCTACTCTTAGGGTGTGTCTTGCTGTCTGCATGGTTGCAGAGCTGATGGCGTGATAAAAATGGAGAAGTTAACTATCTATATGCAAATGCTGTAGAGAGATTGGGACAAAGAGCTATAGAACATTTGACATTAATTTTGAAGTGAGTTATAATGATTGTGTGAGTAGATTAACTGAGGGAAAGGTGCGACAATGACTATCATTTTTTTAATAAGGGATAAATTTAATATTATTTCATAAAATTGTTGGTATTATTATTTTTAATTATCTTTAAGACAATGTGGAATTGAAACAGTGCTGCAGCACAAGAAGAGGCTCCTCCCATTCATATGTATTTACTACAAAGAATATAAAACATTGAGGGCTTCTCCTCCTGACTTCACCTCCCAGTCATACCTAAACGTATGTACATACAGACAAATTCTTGTGAGTAAGGGCTTCGCCCAATTGCTAATAATAATAATATTTATTAGTTTATTTTTATTAAGAGACTGGAGTGAAGACTTCATTGACTCTATTATAGGAAGATAGTTACATTGCAGAAGAGAAAGAGCTTGAAGCAATCAAGGAAAGAAGATGAAAATGAAGGAAGAAGTAAATGAATATCAATATAAGAATTATTAGTATTGATGTCCAAAGCTTGAGCTGATTCCAACTTAATTTATTTCAAGTTAGGATCATTTTTTAATGTGCCAAAATCTGAAAAATTCTCTGAACCCATAGTTTTCCAAAAAATGGCTCCGAAGTTACTCCCAATTTTTATTATATTTTTGATACACATTGATGTCCTTAGGCTATGTAGAAAGTTTGAGCAGATTCCGACTTGATTTTTTCGAGTTACATGTACATGTATGACCATTCTTATGCCAAAATACATGCATCTTAGTTATTCTTTTTCTCAAAGATTGGCTCACTCCAATATACATGTACATGCATTCGCTGGCCAATTTTTATTAGAATGGAATGCTACATTTTATTGTGTACATGTACATGTACATGTTCTTGTGTTTATATTTTGTACATGTAAGTGTAAATATACCAACTTTGAGCTGGGTACAATCAAATTTGGATTTTACTAAAATGATTTTTAGTTTTGTGTTTATGAGTCACAACAAAATGGCCGGAAGATTACTTTTAGTCTGTAAAGATTAAAAATATGATTTACATGTACATGTACATTGTATTCCATATTATATAAATGTTAATTATTTTGACACATGTAGGTTTGTTGCCGGCCTCCTTCAACTGATGAAATCAAGTCAAGTCATCAATCCAAGCACTTTAAAATCTTAAAAGTTAGCTATTGTTGTTGTGTACACTTTACTTGTACATGTATATTTACATGTACATGTACATACATCACTGTTATCGAGAAGAATATTTTGATTATTGTGACCATAATTGACAAAAGGTACCTTATGGCGGATAGGAAAATTGGTGTTTATAGCCTTAAAAATCCAACTTCCTGAGCTCCATTTATCATAAAATTAATCCAGAGGATGGAAAAAGTTACTATGTAACTTTTTGAAACATTTGTTGGCTAACAGAGCACTCACAGGTTGTTATATTTCATTATAATGATGAATTTAAAAATCCGCCATAAGGTACCTTTTGTCAATTATGGTCACATTTTATTTATTATTATTATTTTATTATTTTATTTGTTTTTAAACTATAAGTATAAGGCTATATTTACAGTGTATATAGCTTGGGTATTTTATAAAATTTTGGCATTGTCTTAAAATACATGTGGCTGTAACTCAAAAAATTGAAGTCAACATCAGTTCAATCTTTCTAGACAGCATAAGGATATTAGTATGTATGAGAAAATGTAATAAAAAAATTAGTGTGATTTAGGAGCCATTTTTAGAAAAAATAAACATGGCTTGTAGCCTTGGGTATTTTTCAGAATTTTAGTGTTTCTTTAAGATGGCTGTAACTTGAAAAATTAAAAATGGGATTAGCTCAAAGATCTTACACAGCATAAGGACATCAATATGTATCAGAAAATGTAAAAAATGATGTGATTTTGGAGCCATTGTGTGTTTTTCAGAACTTAGGCATTTTTTAAATTGACTATAACTCAAAAAGCGTAAGTCTAAATCAGCTCTAACTTTCTGCATAGCATAAGGTCATCAATGCATACATGTACAATAAAAATTAGGATGATTTTGGAGCCATTTTAATACTGATGTACATGTGCAATGTACATGTAATACTGATAGTGATAGTAAACTTTTTGTTTTGTTTTAAGCCTATATGTAGGTAATGCAGTATAATGCAGTCTACATGTATGTACATACAATGTACATGACATGTATGTACTTATACATTTACATGCTGTAATCATGTAACTATCATGTGACATTACATGTACATGTATTCTTCAATAGGTTGGATGGTGATGAGTAGGAGTGTCTCAGTGGGAGGAGTCTGTGCATTGATCCAGAGTATAATGTACTGTGGAGATTTGATGAGAGCAGTTTTGAAATAATTATGTTGTTATGATTCTGTTGCAGCTGAAGTTAAAGGTTAGAAATGATCCTCTTCCTCCCTTTCCTATAGTATTATGTACTATAGTATTTAATGTACTGTAATGTACTATAGTATTTGTTATTTTATTTAATGTGAGCAATCTGAGCATACACCATACCAACACACTGTTATTGTAGTTACATGTATGTGCAGCCATACATATCAATGTACATGTACATAAAACAAAGCATGCAATTCACATTTTGTACATTAAGAGTAAGTAGCTTGATCTCTTTCTCTCTTTTCCTTCATTTTTATCTCTTCCTCCATTCTTTTCTCCTCTTCCTCCATACTTTATAGTTCATAACTCTTGACATGTATGTATACATATGCACACACAGTTTACTTAATTGTTTAATGACATATCTTATGTGTACAATAATTTTCCCTCTCTTCCTCTCCCTCCCTCTCTCCAGATTTAGAGGGTACTATTAAATCCTTCATTACATGTACATGTATGTCTCCCTCAGTCTAAAGGCTCAGTCATCACAAGGTTCAATGCTTCAATGAATCTCTTATTATCATTACACACTCTCCACTAATCCTCCTTTATCATTGCAACACTCTCCACTAATCCTCCTTTATCATTGCAAGCTTTGACTGGTAGGAAAGTAAAATCTTTCTCTGTTGACGACTGTCACATTGTCTCAAGATTTAATTGTAAGTTCAGTAGTAGTAACAGGTCATGCAAGTACAAATGTATTTCCTTAGCTATTTATTTACATGTACATGTACATGTGCTATATACACGTAGTCTCTCTTAATGAACACTCTTTATAGCGTACACCTCCACTTAACAGACAGCACCTAGCGAACCTTACTGTATAAAATGACCTCTAAATAACAGAGAAACTTTTTATCTATAAGCATCATGTACTTGTACAATTTTTACATGTACATGTATATAAAAACTATAATAATTCAAAATTGGCAAATATTATTCTTTTATTTATTTGCATGTATCTATTTATTTATTATTTATTTGTTTGTTTATTGTACATGTAGCTCATAGTGGTGGGTTGGATTACAATGCTGGATCAATAGAAGCAGTATGAATAGTTCAGTCCTGATTGAGACATATTCCTTGGGTGGGTTTTGTCTATATGGAGGGCCTGGTGACTACAACATTAAAGTCAAAGTAAGTTACATGCATATTTACATGTACTTTGATTTAAAATGGTCTTAGTTATCATGTGTGCTCAAACATGATGGGTTCTCTAAAAGGGGAATTCCTATTATGGTGTTGCATGTATTATTAACATTATTACCAAGCGCTAGCGCTTGGTATGTAGGGTTGAGTTTGACTAGCGCACCCACAAAATGGCTGCCATCCCAGAAGCATTGAGCCAGTGAAAATCTTCAGGAATTCTTTATGGCTTATCTGACAGTCAGGATGTCCTTTATAATTTTATTAGAACAGGTTAGTGTTATAAAAAGTAGTTAAAAACTTCCATAAGATAGTTATACGGCAAATGAATGCATGCATGCCTGCATGCACCAAATGTTCAGCTTTCTCCTTCTTCTTCCACAGTTAAGGAAGAACTAGTCCTACAGTTTTTATCCTAGAAATATAATTTTTGCACCATTGTATTGCACTTCAGGGACGCTAGTGCAGTGTGGCTTGGCATTGTAATTCTACAAAAGTAATTTTGTCGTCATTTTCAAGCACTCATTGACTCATCAAGTGGTTGGACGCCATTTTGATGCATCCAACTGCGCATGCTCAGTATTCAGTATTCAATGCCCGCCTATGGGAACTCCTTTTCGGAGTCCTTTGTTCTGCGCTTACTGACTGATCTTGAGATGATGTGCTTGCCTAAACACCCTATCTACTTACACCAAGATTCTCTGGAAGTGAGAGAAATTATTGTAAAATGATAAACGTAAATAATTTTGATTAATTACTTATCCACAGAGTTTGTATTCAATTTGCCTTCATTGTCTTCATTACTACTGACAATCTCTTCAAATAAGGTAAATATATACGTAAATTGTCTGTATTATACATTTATCGGTATGTAGTCTCGCCATGCCCCTTCGCTACCTGCAGAGCTGGAGGAAGGGTCTGCATGGAGACCGTGCACTGCCATCTAAAATGTGTGCAAAGAAGAAAGAAGAACACATTGTTGAGCTACATCATGTGACAGAGGAGACCAGATCGGTCAAAATAGCTGAAACTGATGCTTTGCAGCTAAGAAAAGTTGAGGATATAGTCCCTTGAACATCTCTTGCAGATCCTTCCTCCGCAGGTAAGCGAAGGGGTGGGGCGAGACTAATGGGTATGTTAAATGGTGGGGCTTAAACGCCCTCCCCAGTCCATGTGCATGTACGTGCAGCCTCGATTAGGGAATGGCTTCCATGGACCATGCATGGCCGTGTCCTACTACTATTATATTTAGGCTACTCCAATTAGATTTATACACATTTCCCACCCACATGGTCCCCCCTTACTACCTTAAGGTTACTTTTAAATGCGGGTACTATTAATTGCGAATTTTGCGTTTGGGTTAAAAATCGCAATTATTAATACGCGCAATTATTAATACGCGCAATTATTAATACGCGCAATTATTAATGATGACATCATGATGCCATATAACTATTAGTAATAATTACTTAATCGCACTTTTTAATACCAGCAAAATCTACCTTGTGCTAAAATCGTAAAATTTAGTACCCGCAATTAAAAGTCACTCTAAGGTATTTCATTCCTGTAGGTAATATTCATGGCTGCTAATATTTGCAATAATAAAATAATAAAAGCTTTAGTGGAGCCATTCACAATAGTGACTTGTTCTGTTTCCGTTAGCTTCTTGTATGAACCTCTACCTCCAACCTCCTTCTGAAAATTGTTGCTAGTTGGCCGGTCGTGATAACAAACCACAACTGGAATGGGTGGAGAGTTTCAAGATACAGTGGTGAGTTCTGAAAACTGGTGAAAGCAGCTTCAATAAGACCAAGGGCTAGTAAGAAGTAATAAAAACTCAATAACACTGCATCAGAAGGCTTGGCTTTAATATCAATTACATCTGGTATACATGTACATGCATGATAGTTACTGGTCACAGTAACAAATTGTGAATATTAGTAGCCATGAATATGTCACAATTCTACGGTATTGCAGTTGTTTATACTAGTTATAATGAGTAAAGTAATAAACAAATGTGCCCGCCCACCT